TGTGATTCTCACAGCTGAACACAGTATTGTGAGTAGATGGGGACAGTTACATCCTGTGTCTTGTGACCAGGATGGATTAAAAAAATCAATTTTTTAAAATAAAAAACCCAGATTTTAATTTTTCTAAATATCAATAAAATGCTAAAGTTTCTCATATTTAAAAATAATAGTTGCAATTAAATCTTACCACAAACATGCTACACCTACACTTACAGTCTCATAAAAATGAATTAATGGCTCTAATCTGTCCAGCATAACAACCAGCTCTGGCTCCTTGAAAGTTCTGGGCTTTCAATTTCTAGTCTGCTGAGAAACATGCAAAGACAAATACAGGCTAGATAGGATTGTTTGTTCTGTTCTTATCTGATAGTGAGCCTGGGCCAAGCAGTGCAGAGTTAGTTAAGATGTTGTCTAAAGACTGACACAATATAAAGGAGAGGACAGAGGCAGCATAGAAAGGAACATTGGAATGGATTGGAAAGGAAAAGGGAAGACATTACTCAGCACGCGCACACACACAACTTTTTATGTTCCCCCTACATTTTTTCCCATAGAAAAACTGTCATGGCTTCTGGGTATAACAGACACCCTATCTGGGAATATATCGAGGCCTGGCCCACACCACTTCCCACAACTCCCTTTCCCTGCAAATGGCAGAGCCAATGGGAGCTGCAAGGCTCCATTGCTGCAGAGCCAGTAAATAAACACACCAAAGCAGCCAGTTAGCAGGTTTCTGAGTTTTCCCGGACCACTTTGAGAAATAATGTTCTATAGTGATCATATTTGCACTGCTGTTTGAAGAAATATGTTGAAGAACTATCAATGAGAAACTTATTTTAAATCAGTGACTTTTTGTGTGTGATTTAAGTCAGTCCACCTGCATATGACACTCCTGTTAATACAACCCAGAATTAGCCCCTTTATTTTATTTTGGCAACCTCATCACACTGAATCTTACTCAATTTGTGATCCATTATAATCTCCAGATCTTTTTCAGCAGTATTACAGTCTAGCTGGTCATTCTTCCACATTGTAGTTAAGAAGTTTGTTTGTTTGTTTGTTTTTCCTTCCTAAAAGTTGTATTTTGTGTTTGGCATTATTGAATTTAATCTTGTTGAATTCAGGACAGTTTTCCAGTTTGTCCGTTTTGTTTTTTTAATCTTGGCCTCCTCGGTGCTTGCAAATTTCATAAGCATAGTCTTCATTCCATTCTCCAAGTCATTAACAAAGACATCTGATAGTACTGGACCCAGGACTTGTGGGACTCCATTAGAAACATTTTCCCAGTTGGATTGTGGTCTTTCAACTAGTTATGTACCCATCTCACAGTTATTTCATCTGGACCACACTTCTCTAGTTTATGAAGCTGTCATGTGGGATTGTGTCAAAAGCCATATTAAAACCAAGATATCTCTGAGAGAGTTTCACCTAATAGCCTTTTCCAAAAGGAAATTGAGTTGGTTTGTCATGATGTGTTCTTGACAATTTTATGTTGGCTATTACTTAGCCTTTTAGCTTCTAGATGCTTACAAATCTTTAATTGTTTGTTCCAGCATTTTTCCAGGCATTGAAGTTAGGTTGACCGATGTATAATTTCTCAGGTTCTCTTTCTTCATCTTTTAAAGATAGATACTATGCCCTTCTCTAGTAACCTGAAGTCTGACTCAGTATCCTCTCAATGAGCTCTTAAAAGGAATATAAGCCAAAATAGATTTATTTCTCATATTAATTATGTTGAACAGTCACCATTAATCTTTTTAATAAAGACTGAAGCAAAACAAGCATTGAACAGCTTAACCTTCTTGATGTCATCTGTTGTTAGCTATCCCCTTTTCCCCACCAAATAGTGGGCTTACACTTTTCTTTGTTTCTTTCTTGCTGTTAATGTATTTATAGAACTTCCTCTTACTGACTTTTATATCCCCTGCTGGATTTAACTCCTTTTATGCCTTTCTGATTGTGCATATACATGCTTGCTATTCTTTATGCTTCTTTAGCAATTTGTTCATTTTTCCTCTTTTTGAAGGATTCTTTTGATTTCTTCCCTTCATTAGAGAGTTTCTGAGTACAGCCTTGTTGGTTTTTTACTATTTTTCTTATCTTTTCGTCACAGTGGAATAGTTTGCTATTATGCTTCTAATATTGTCTCTGAAAAACTGCCTTCTCTCCTGAACTTGACCCCTTTAGATTGTCTTCCCGTGAGACTTAACCTAACAGTTATCCAAATTTTAGTCTGTTTTTTTTAATCCATTGTCCTTTTTCTCTGCTGTCACTTTCCTTTTCTTAGAATCATGAAATCTCTCATTTCATGATCATTTTTGTCCAGATCATCTTCCAGCTTTAGATTTGTAACTAGTTCCGTCCTGTTCATCTGATTCAACTCTAAAGGACTGTTTCTCTGATTGGTTACTTCATGTTCTGAAACCGTAATTCCAAGAACTTATTCAGCGTTTTGTGGTATTAACCATGCAGAAACCTGGTGGAAAAGTAAAATCCTCCATTATTACTAGATCTTGTGGTTTTTATATTTGTTGGTAGTTCTTGAAATTTAGTTCATCCTCTGTGTGAAACTTGTTAGACTGGTTCCATCATCTGTGTTGTAAAACTATAAGTACAGCAGTCTCATTTATTGCTAGTGATTATACTGCCACCATCTAACTGCTATCTTTAAGTAATACCTTTGGGATCTTTTGAAACAGATGTCAGAACTTAAGATTCGGGCCTTACAGGATTAGTGAGAGCCATGTGTAAAATTTAGTTTTAAAGTGTTCTTTAATGTTCTAAAAAATTATGCCAGTAGGTTAGGAGAAACCTGAAGTTTGAGAGAACTCCCTCCCTTGTTGCCCATAGATTAGTAATTATGCCCTATATTTATTTTCCTTTCATGGTTTGATCCATGAAGGCCTTGTTAGAATCTGAGTTGTTTGTAAAGATGTACTGCTTTTTCAAGCAGTTATGAAAGTGTGAAGTATTTTCTTCATCAGTTGTGTAGGCACCTCGAATTTCATCATAGCCAAGAATTTTGACATACCTTAAATAAATAATCTTCCTTGTTTTTCTTAGAACTAGCCTATGGTAAGTCTTGTAGTTGGAAACAGTGTAGCCTCTTCTCTTTTTCAGTGAATGTTGATCTGTCACATTGCACGATCTTGGATTGCAATCCAAGCCTTCTATTTTCAGTGATCTGTACTAATTCAGAAATTGATGCAGGTAATTTATTTATTGTTCAGTGGTAAGAGGCACAGTCCACCTCACTTAATAGTTAAAACAGTATTCAGCTTGCCACTCCATCCATTTTCCCATTCCTGTTTTAGATTTTTAACTTCCATCTGGAAATGTCTTTTGAAGACTTAATATAGGATCTCAGGTTACAGTGACTTGAGAAGCAAGGTTTAGTCAGACCCTTGGACACATAATATATAAGGCAGTGTTTCTCAAACTGTGCTCTGCGGAGCCCCTCTCCAGGGGCTCCACGAGGTTAACAAACTGGAAATATCGATAGGCAGGGCTCGACAAATTATACAGTCTACTCGCCCATGGTGAGTAGATTGTAACCCGGAAGAACAATCTGCGCATGCGCTGGTCGCTGGACAGCGCGGCTGGCGAGCAGGGCTCGCCACAGTTCGGCGAGCCTTGTTGATAGGTACAACACATACTATCAGTGGACCGCTGGGGTTCCGCATAAGTACAACACATACAATCAGTGGACTGCTGGGGCTCCACATAAATTTTTACGCATGTAAAGTGCTCTGGAGCCCAAAAAGTTTGAGAACTGCTGGTATAAGGAAAGGGAAGAATATGGTACAGCAAGACACTTCCAACACCTATGGGATCTGGCTATAGTGTTCATTTTAGCACAAAGGATGGACCGAGCTCACTACTAACATCTCTGAAAATCTATAGCACCACTGGGTACCCACAGAAGGGAATACATGCTGCAACCCATGCAGGGGTGTAGGAATGGATGTGCTTGCTGCTGAGGTACTGCAGACAAGGTCAGCACCAGTCCTCATCCACGCCAGTGCTTTAAAGGTACAGGGAAGCTCTTTATTAGGGCATTGAAAAGACTCAGTGAGAATATTGCAATTCATTGTATACCCAGATTCCTTTCAATGATGGGTGGCAGGAGTTTTCTCCATGACATTACTTGGAAATTAATGAAGGTTAATTTTGCATCTGTAGGGTGTGTGACTTTTATCCAAATCCTATAACTATATAATCCTTATGATTCTTTCCTATTTGTTCTATGCAGATGCTAATTATTTGCAGCCTTTCCATCAGTTATCTTCCATTAGGATTTCATAGTGCAGTGGCCTCTTTATTTGTCACTTTGTGCTCTTGTCAACAAATTTCTCTTCTAGGTATGTGTCTGAGAAAGATACCCAAATTTGGTAGGTCTGTTCATATTTATTTTTTACTAGATTTTCTTATTCTTTGATAGTATCTTAGATTCTTGGAACTCCCCCTCAGCTCCAGTTTGTGTCCTCTTCTTTCTTCCCATTACTAGTTTCCTAAGGTTTTTGCTTTATTTAGTTAAGATCTGACTTGAAGTTTTCAGCCTTTTTTGTTAATGTGTTTATGAGCTCTTTAGTGCAGCTACTATGTTTTTGTAATGTATTTTTGTATAGTTACCTAGCACATCAAGATCCAGAGATGCTACTGCAATACTTTTAGTATGGTAGCTCTTTCACAGAAGGCAAAGTGGTTGGACCTTCAAGTTTAAACCAGGCTTTAAATTATTTGTGAATTAGTGACTTTTATAAAGTGTAATATATCTTTCAGGAAAATAAAATTAGTTGTGCCCTTCTTGAACCTTTTCATGTGGTGTTAAAGGCCTAAACATCTTAATTTATACATTTTCCACTTATATAGACTTTCATGCCCATCTGCCACTTCGAGAAATGCTGCCAGAGCTAGTCGTCTTAGCATTTTACGCTCCTTTCTATAATGCTTAGAGCAGTGAAATAGTTAAATAATTATGTTGACATTTAAAATATTATTTATCATTGGTATGAGAGAAAGTACTCATTGAAATGAATGGGGCAATTTATACCTCAGGGCTGTTGCTTGATGGTTTTCTGCAGATCTATGCAGGTGTCATTGTATCTGTTGCCTTTGCTTCATGTTAAAAGATTTTCTTCATTAGCATAACAGCTAGAGCCTTTACGAAATTAAAAACTGGGGCTCAGGAGGAAATTTACCAGTCTGTCATTCATCTAGTCCTTTGCACACATGCCCTCCTTCTCCTTTCCAGTGAGGGAATGTGATCCACACTTTAGGAGACACTTAAGTGGATATGGGTTTCACTTAATCCTGACTTGGTTAGAAGGAGCTGTTGACTTTCTTTGTTCAACAAAGGATTTTTTCCCCCTGAAATTAGCATTATTTGAAGTCTCTCTAATGTTGGGTTTTCTGTAGCACCTGCTTAAATGATATGTGTGTTGCATAGGCAAGCTAGCATAGGCCATCCTCTGTGGACCTTGCTTGAATAGTCTAGTACAGGAGCCCTCCTTGATTTCCTTAGTCAGTGGTGTTTCTACTTCTGTAGACCGAAGAAAGTGAACATGTGTGGTATTAAAAAAAAAATCATCTTTGCTATATCCATCTGTTATGGAATTGGTCTTGAATAGTTCTTCCTGTAAAGATTTTTACCTCCTTTCTGAGCTGTGTGACAAGCAAGCCACAATTTTCTAGGAAGAAACTCTGGTTCAAATATCATAGTTCAGTCTTTGTCAAGATTTAGGGTTTCATTCAGCTGTCTTTTGCAGGTCTTCCTAAATTTTTCTGACACCAGGCTTATTAAGAGTGAAATGGTTCTGACAAAATTGAAAAGGACTATGTTGCATTGCTATAATTTAGATCATGTCTTTAACTTGCTTGGTTCCTTTTGTTTTCATGTATCGTAAAGAACAGTTTATTATATTTCAGGGGAATTTCAATAAAGGAGCCAGTTCAATGGATTGGCAATGTTAATATCCTATATTATCCCTCTGTCGATCCATCTGCTTCTTTTCAGGAACTTGAAAGTAATGCTTGCCTAAACTGCTAAATCTAAGAAGTAAAGATCTAATTTTCTGGCTGAGCGTTTTTGTTTCCTGGTGTATCTAGTTAGGAAAGATTCATTCCTATCTTCTATTTCTCAATCTAATTGTGCTGCTTCCCACTCTTTGTCTGCACTATTGTTACATCGTTTTATTACTTTAATGTTCATATTTCTAAAGACAGGCTTACTATTGTCAGAGGACATTCATGTAAATGCTTGGCAACAGGGAAGGGCAAAGGAATTCTTTCAAAACTTTCATCTATAACCGTTCGGTGTCCTATCTGGCTTTACTTTTAATGAAAAATCTCATTAAATTAGAAAATTAAAAATTCAGTGTTCCGTCTTGGTCCACTGTCAATCTTGAGTCAAATAGCAGAATAAATCCCCACCCTACCCCCATTTATAGTGTCACACACTTTGAAATAAGAAACAGCAAAAAAACAATAAGGAAAGCATAACTAAGCATAGCTTATATATTTTACTGTTAGGAAGACTAGTGATGTTAATTATTGTTGTCTTAGATACCAGAATGCCATGGACTATTGCTAAGTTGTATTAAGTTTGTTTTGAGGGTGGTTTTTACTCAAGATAAAGAAATAGATTGTCAAAATAAGCTGCAGAAGATGACAGAATTCAAAATTTAGATTCTGAAGCCTGTATAAAAGGTCAGATGCTTCAGACTGTAATTTAGAAATTAAGCATTTTGAGATGTTTAAATAGGCAGATACGTTTTAAAGGCACATAGTATATTGATTTTATTGAAAAGTATATTGTCTCCCAAATTTTGCTTAGAAGCCAGATATGTGCAAAGAGATAAGTTAGTTTTATAACTAAGATTGATAAATAATTCCTTAATGGAAATTTGCTAAGTTTATGTTCTTTCTCTCTCATCACCTGCAGATAGTTAGTCAGTAAGAGCAGCAGCATCAATCAAGGTGGGTTGATGAATGAGTGTAATTCAGTTTCTTTGTATTGTGCAGCTTGAGAAATGCCAGTGGATTGACAGCAGCAGATCTTGCACATACCCAGGGTTTCCAAGAGTGTGCCCAGTTTCTCTTGAATATCCAGAACTGTCACCTGAACCGTTTCTTTAGCAATGGCACCTTAAATGGTGGTCCCAGTACAGTCAATGGTGGGACAAGTCGAAAGAGATCCTTTGAAGATGTGGCGTCTCCTGGAGTAAAGAAAGCTAGGACTGAAGGTGAGACTTCAAGAGGTAAAAATGGGCGGGGCAATATCTCTGATGATGGGAGTAAAAGAAGGTACTCTGGGCTTGAAAGTTTATTTAAATGAATCAAATATAAATAAAATATTTATGAAAACTAGATTGACTCCTTAGAGAATTACATTTTGCAGGTTCCCACTCTTGCTAAGTACAGGCCTTGTTTCTGCAAGTCCAAGAGCCATTTGGACAGAAAGTAACTTGAAGGGAATGTGTGCACTCTTGTGACTCAATGTTGATTCATAAAAGGACTGGGGCGCATCTTTTGGCTTCTTTCTAGTTGTCATAAAGATCATATAATCACAGAAATGTAGGACTACAAGAGACTTGGATAAGTCATCAGATCCAGATTGCTGTGCTGATGTAGGACCAAGTAAATGTTAGACCATCCCCGAAAGATTTGTCTAGCACCTATGCTTATAAACCTCCAATGACGTGGGTTTCACAACCTCCCTTGGAAGTCTCTTACAGTACTTACTAACCTGGGAATCAGCTTTTTTTTCCTCCTAATAGCTAATCTAAATCGCCCTCACAACAGATGAAGCCCGTTACTATTGATCCAACCCCAGTGCACCTGGAGAAAAATTGATCACAATCCTCTTTATAAAAGCCCTGAACATATTTGCACACTTTTCAGGTTCTCTCTTTTCCCCCACTACCCCCATTCAGTCTTCTTTTCTCAAAACTAAACATGCCCAGTATTTTAACCGTTTCTCATGGGTCAAGTTTTCTGAACCTTTTGAGCTGCATCTAGACTGCAGGGTTTTTTTGGGTCTCCCCCCCTCCCCCCCAACCCAGAAAAATGGCCATTTTTCCAAAAAAAACTTCACTTACGTCCACACTGCTATTGCATTTTCAAAAGAAAATCGAAAGGACACAGGGTTTATTCCAACATTGGTAAACCTCATTCTATGAGGAAGAACGCCTTTTCCGAAAGAGCTCTTTTGGAAAAAGGCATGTGTGGACGGGAAGAGGGAGTTCTTTTGGAAGAAGAGGAAAGAGGAAAAAGCAGAGGTGCCCTGGTGGCCACTCCATAGTAATCGGAGCTTAAATGCGAGATAGTGTCCATTCAATGTGGATGCTATCTTTCAAAAAAGCAGATAGCTTTTTCGATGTGCTTTGGCAGCATGGATGCTCTCTCTCGGAAGATCTCTTCCGGAAAAGCTTCTTTCGAAAGAAGCCTGCAGTCTAGACATACCCTAAGTGTGGCACCTAGAATTAGGGATGTGAATGATTAGTTGACTATCCAATAAGCAAGTGCTTATTGGATAGTTGACACTAGTCAATCAGAAAGAGCAAGTGTGGGGAGAGGAGAGAGTGTTTGAAAGTGACAGTGCCACATGGAGCCTGACACTGGGCTCGCTGCAGCATTTCAAAGAGGCAGCACCACATGGAGTCCAGGTCAGCGGGGCAGTCCCCTGCCGACACTGGGCTTCATGCATTGCTGCCATTTTGAAACACCACGTGGAGCCTGGGACCAAGTGGGGACTTAGCTCAGAGTCCCCCGCTGACCCCAGGCTCCATGCGGCTCTGCTGCTTTGAAACACTGCCAGGAGCACGGGGCCAGCAGGGGACTGCTTGAGTCCTGGAGCTGTTGCTACACTTCAGAGACAGAGGTGCCCTTATTGACTAATGGAATAGTTGATGCAAATTGCATTGACTATTTAGTTAGCCGATTAATCTAAATTCAACATCCCTACCTAGAATTGAACATGGCGCTGGTGAAGCCTCTGCTGAAGTACTTAGTAGCACAGGACATTTGTCTAGCTTGTCTGTCTTGCAGCACGAGAAGTATTTGTCCAGCCCTGTTCAGCATCGGTGAGGCCTGTGCTGGAATACTGTGTCTATTTCATAATGTTGACTGCCTTCTCAATATGAGTTGAGTGCCTAACCATATGTCCTTCTTAAAGCAGAAGTGACACCTTAAACTACTTCTACACCATGGACCCAGAATATAAATAGTTGGCCTCACCAACAATCCTGTTATTTTTCTTTCTGCTATATTCTGTAGTTAGGGACATTTTTCTTTCCCTTCACCCTTGGGCAGTAGTTAAAAATTACCCAAAATATCCTGCATAAATAGTTTATAAACTGTTTATTAGACAAGATTTTCCATAGGCAAAGCCCTATGGAAGATGTTGACCAGATTTGGCTGCCATCCAAAATGTACTAAGATACCAAGGCTTCTCCATGATGAGATGACTGCTACCATTCTCTGTAATGGCCTGGAGAAAGACCCTTTCTTTATCAAAATTGGGGTTAAGGAAGGATGTGTTATTGGCCCCAACCATGTTCTCCATCTATTTAGCAGTCCTCGTTAAAGACCACCTTCCCAGTGGAATTGACATTCAATACAAAATGGATGGGTGGCCTCAGGAAGTCCATTTACTAATCTTCAGTATGCTGATTACTGTGCCATCCTCTTGCAGATAAGCTGTTCAGGTTTGTTAATTTGTCCTCCTAAATAGGTGATATAGTCTCTGGATATGTCTCCCACGAAAGTCAGGCAGGCAGATAAAGCAGCTCTTGGACCTCACCCAAAATTGCTGACAAAAGTTAGAACTCTGTGGTCTTTGGAGAGAAATCCAAAGGACAAGCCATCTCTATTCAAAAGTGTATAAATGACTGGTGATGCATCCAGTCCTCTTAAGAATTAGGTAATTATGTTCTTCTGGAGCACTCTAGAAAATAGTCCTTTAACAGGCTGTGATTATATGGTACCCATGTACAGGGCTTGACAAATAATGCAGTCTACTCACCCGTGGTGAGTAGATTGCAACCCAGAAGAGCCGGGTTCAGGCAGTCTGTGCATGTGCAGAACGATCTGCGCATGCGCAGATCGCTGGACAGGGCGGCTGGTGAGCAGGGCTCACCGCAGTTTGGCGAGCCCTGCCCATGTAAGAAGTCTTTTGGTACTTGGTTTGCCACAGCATAAATCATAATTCTCTCTAGACTAACAAGAACAGGTGCAGTTTGGGGAGCACACTGCTTCTTCCACTGGCCAATTAGCAAGGCTCCTTGGAGGCAAAGCTAGGAAGGAAATAGGACATTGTTTGTTTTATGTAACTCCTGGGACTGGGTAGATACTACAGAGCTACAGTGGCTTACTTTCTTTTCCTCTTTCCACTCTGTTTTTGGAGCCCAGTTACATTTCAGTGCTCTGGAAGTAGAGGGAAATGGGGGAACATTGGTGAAGGAAGTCAGTCTTTATTCTCTGGGTCAGGTCAATATTGACGTCAAAAGGTTCTCTGAGTGTGAAAATCCCCTTCTTTAAAGCTCTAACTCCTACATTTAGAGCGTCTCTTCATTATGGGCTGGATAGATAGGCAGCAATTAATCTAGCAGGGGTCAATATATAATGCCAGTTATAGATGCAATAAATCAACTGCCAAGTGCTCTCCCATTGACTCTAGTGCTCCAGCAAAATGAGAAGTGCAAGCGGAATGAAGGGAGAGCTTCAGCTGTCAACTCACTGCTATGAAGATACTGCGTTAAGCGGATCTAAGTACGTAAGCTTCAGCTACATTATTTGTGTAGCTGAAGTTGCGTAACTTAGGTTGACGGGCCATGGTCATATAGACAAGGTCTTAGGGTTGATAACTCTCATGGACTGGACACCATTGCTGAGAATGATGTCTGATCCATCCAGTTGGGAAAGTTGGCAGAACTATGCTACATTGTGGCTTTGTGGAAGAATAAGATACCTTGTATATAGTTTAGCCACTTGTGTACATGTTCCCTGCCTGTGCAAGGATGCATCGGATGAATGCATACATATTACTGATGATTATATTCCAGAATGTAAACTTTTATGTAAACGCAAAATTGTCTGTAGTCTTTATGGTTCCAAAGATAGCATTAAGAATCTGCACCGAAGACAAGGCTGACTGATCTTGAGCTAAAAATGTTCTCTCAGAAGTGAGAATTGCTTTCTTTTTCATATTCATGTGCTAACTGAAACCTAATTATGGGTAATTGAAATGTCAGCTATTCCTTCTGTTCACTAAATCAGAAAAATAAATCTAATGTACTTGTATGTAGTGGGGCATCTAGTTTGTGTAAAGTCATAATTGGAGTTCAGAGCTAGAAGGGGTGATCATTTAGTCTGGTTGCCTGTATGTGACAGGCAACAAACAGCGCCAACACACACTAAACCCAACTGTCAAAATTAGACCAAAGTATTACAGCACACAGGAGGCTAAACTACTATGTTACCACTGACAAAAAATAGGAGGAACTGAATTATATCAATGTCTGAGGCCCCTGCAATGGCAGAAAGTTGATGAAATAACCCTGGCAAGTGACCTGCAGTCTATGCTACAGAAGAAGACCAAAAAAAAAGTCTCCTCCAGTCTGTCCTGAGGGAAAATTCCTTGACACACCTATATATAGGTCTGATCCCAATCTGTGGCCATTTCTGATGCTTCAGAGGACATCCCCCCCCCCCCCCAAAAAAAAACCACCACAGAATACACGGGGGAGCGGGTGAAAATTCCTTTTTAATTCTGTGGATGCCCTGCTGACGTCTAAGCGTGAACTTGTAGAAACGTAACACACAAATTAGACGGGATCTCCAGATCTGCCAAGCCCTAACTCCCTCCCAAGCTCTCCATTCTCCCAACGTTAGTCATGTCTAATCTGAGGATGTTAAGGACTAGTCTATTATCTGATAAGCAAATGCAAATGCTTATTGAATAGTTGAGTCAACTAGTTTATTTCTCCGGCGTTTCAAAGGGGCAGCACTGCACAGAGCCCAGAATCAACTGTGCGGCGCTGCCCCCTTTGAAACACTGCGGCAGCATTTCAAAGCACCAGCGCCAGGTGGAGCCTGGGGTCAGCTGGAGACTTCCCCGCTGAGCCTGGGCTCCAGCGTGTCATTTCAAACCACACAGAGCCTTCGGTCAGCTGGGGGCTCTATGAGGGTGATTTCACTTTGAAATGCACAAGACCCCTCTGGAAGTCCCTCTGACTCCGGGCAGGAGGTTCCACTGACTCTGGGCTCCACGTGGATGCTTCTGCTTTCAAATGCACAAGAGCCTCCGTGGGCTTCCTGCTGGCCCAGGGCTGCACGTGTCATTCCAGTGGGGGCTCTTGGACATTTCAAAGGAGGACTGTGGAAGTGCCTATTGAGGATGGAAATCCCATCAACTACTCACTAGTAAATTGCTCCTTAGTTAACATCCTTAGTTTAATCCTGTGGTCACCAACCTGTCAATTGAAATCGGGGGCTCGACCAGTCGATTTCGAGGTGTTCAGGGCCCTCCCCGTTTCCCCCAACCTGCAAAAAGAAGCCCCCCGCTGACTCTACCTCCAGCAACAATGGAGGTAGCGTGGTCCTTCTTCAGGGGAGACAGGGGAGGAGTCCTGGAGCTGCACACCACTTCTGGACTTTCAGGAAGTATGCAGGCTGCTCCCCCCTCCCTCCAAACAGCTGGTTCATTTCCTGAAACACCAGGTCTGTGGTGCATCGACAACTTCCTTCCTTTGCTGCCTTCCTCGAGGGGAGGGGAGGGGCGGGAGGATTCCCGGGAAGAAGCGAGCACCAGCGATTTCCTTCCCCTGCTGCCTTCCTGTGCAGAGTGGAGGGAGTTCTAGGACCGCGCCAGCTCCAACTGCTCATGCAGAGCAATTGGAGTTGGTGTGGTCCTTGGACTTCTCTTCCCTCCTCCCCTGGCCCCCCCCCTTCCATCCAAGGAAGGCAGCAAAGGGAAGAAATCCACAGACCTGGCATTTCAGGGAATGCGCCAGCTGTTTGGGACAGAGGGAGCAGCGCATATGCTTCCTGAGACCTGGCTGCAGGATCCCCAGATACTGGCCCGAGCTGACCCTGTCCCCTCCCCCTGGCCAAACACCATGTCCTCTGCCCCCACCAGCACAGTTGGGGTCACATTAATGAGGTTTGGGGGGTAAGGGTATGTGTGGGGTTTTTTTTGGGGGGGAGGTGGGGTTCAAGCTCACTTGTGTGGCCCCAACTGATTTTTCAGTGGGTCAGTGACCCCTGACTCAAAACAGGTTCCCCGCCCCTCTCATAAATAAAGACAACACTGAAACATTTTGTGTTTGGCATATTTTATTTAAAAATGAAGCCTGGCCAACAAGCCCCCAATTGGGGCCAACCCCATATCTGGCTGCAGCCTCATAACACTCCTGTACCACCACCATGCCTCCTCAACCCCAAATCTGAGCCTATCATACACTGTAACCCCCTGTCCTGAGCCTCTCTCATCCCCCAAACTCCTGCACCCCCACAGCTTCAGTCTTCTGCCACAACACTTCTGCACCATCCGCACACCACAAATCTGTGTCCTGAGTCCATCATCAAAAAAACCTTCCTGCCCTGAGCCCCTCACACACCCACCCAAACTCTTGCACCCTCACATCCACAAGCTTGTGGCTTGCTCAGCACCACAACCCTCCACCTGACCCCAACACTGTCCAGCCTGGAGTTCCCTCTCTGAGCCAGCATCCCCTTCTCCACATCTTCCGCATCCAAATTCCCTCCCAGAGCTTGCACCTCTCACCCCTTCCCACATCCAATGTCGGAAGAACCTTGAAAAACAGCAGTGTAGCTGAACCCTGGGGCTGTGTCTACCCTGCACCCCTTTTCCGGAAAAGGGATGCAGATGAGACAAGTCGGAATTGCAAATGAAGTAGGGGATTTAAATATCCCCCGCTTCATTTGTATAAACGTGGCTGACGCTTTTTTCCGGCTCGGGGCTTTGCCGGAGAAAAGCGCCAGTCTAGACGGGATCTTTCGGAAAATAAAGCCTTTTCCGAAAGATCCCTTATTCCTTAGGGAATGGCTTTATTTTCCGAAAGATCCCGTCTAGACTGGCGCTTTTCTCCGGCAAAGCCCCGAGCCGGAAAAAAGCGTCAGCCACGTTTATACAAATGAAGCGGGGGATATTTAAATCCCCTACTTCATTTGCAATTCCGACTTGTCTCATCTGCATCCCTTTTCTGGAAAAGGGGTGCAGGGTAGACACAGCCTGAGAGTGTATATGGGCTGGGGATAGCAAGTGATGGAGAGGAGGGGAACAGAGAGGGTGGAGCCTCAAGGAAAGGGTGGAGTCTTGGGAAAGGGTTGGGGTAGATCGTGGCTTGTCCTGACATTTAAAAAGTAATCTTGGGTGTGAAAAGATTGGAGACCACTGGTCTAATCCAAAGTCTCCTTGCACCCCTCAGAATTCTTAATAGCTGACAGTATAATTCTTTCCATATAGCAGATTTTTTTCTTTCAACAATGAGACTATTTACACTTCTGTTTATTGGCTTGGTTATCAGTTTGCAAAATATGATCTGGAAACTAAATCTTTTTTTTTTTCTTTTTCTTTTTTTTTAAAACCAGCTCATAGGTTTGATGGCTTAATACCAATGATGAATGAAGGAAATGAGGATGATGCTGACAATATGCACATTGATAAAGAGTTTGCTGTTGTATCAGGTGGGACTGGACAGTTTCCTGTTAACTACAACAACATTCAAATGGTTGAAGACAACAAACAACAGGAGAGTGGTTCTGTTGGACCAAAAGAGATTGAAATTTACACAGTTTCTGCAATGCAAACCCCCTGTCGTTGCAAGAATCAATATGCATTTTATTTCTAATTTAAATATAAAATATTCTTTTATTTTTTGCACACTATTGTCCAGAGTCTTGAAAATTATTGTACTATGTAATAGCTATTATATTGGATTTTTAAGTAGATACCAGAGATTAGCTATTTCCTAGAACACATTGCAAGGGTTTAAGGGAGATCTTATTGATAGTGAAATTCTATTTAAATTATCTTTGGCTGTTTCACTTTAATTACAGGCTTATGTTTCATGTGCCTTGTTTTTTAGTTAATATGTTTGCATCTTAAAGGAAAATTCAGAGGTATTTTAAATTGTTGGTTTCATTGGTACCAAATAGAATTAATTGCCAATACGAATAAGAAAAAGTATATCTTAATGGTTTATATAGTTCTTTAAACAATGTGTGGTACCACTTATTTAGTTTCAAACTAGCTTGAAGTATGCTAATAATAATAGTCCATACTTAACGACTACGTGTTCAATATTTGTTCAGACATAGCAATATGACTGTAGAAACTATGTTGTGAACAGCTACTGCTTTTGTTTTATTTGGATAAAATAATTGATTCCATGGGATTTTCATTGAGTTGTCATTTGGAACAATTTTGGAAACCACTGTTTGGATTTTGTATCAGTTATCATGAAAACAGCCACATTGTTAGTAGAAGTGCATATTCAGGGCTGCTTGATCAAGATGCTTTTTAATAACCCATAAGTGTTATTATCTAGAATTACGCTGTCTTAAGAAACATTGTCTTGTGTCAGCTTGTCCATCGACTTCGTAGTTAAAGGCAGGAGTTACTATTTTAGTGCATTACATTTTGGAATGAATATTCATGTTGTAAGACATATTATGATGCAAATGTTTCTGCTTGATACCATGGGTCAGATTCACCAAATGATATTAAGTAGAGATTAAAATATGTAGGGATTACAAAAAGCCCTTTTCATTAGTTAGAAAGTAGAGGAAAAGTTCCAGTGAGAGAGTTACCAAAGTTCATTGAAAAGTAGTTCAATTCTTCTTTTTCATAAGTCTTGTGTATTGTTATAGGTCCCTATTTTCAACAAATATAAAAATGCTGTAATTATCACTAGAGCTATTCACTATTTGCTTTTGAATATTCACTAACAAATACCATTGATAAAATTAAGCCATTTGGCAAAGCTAGCCTACATGACCAGTTTTTAAACAGGACTGTGCACTTTTTTCATTAATAAATACTTTTATCAAATTTTTATTGTGCCTCGTCACAAAATTAGGCATGATGTGTTGACATTTTTTTAACTTGACCTCCAGCAGGATTTTATGATTAATAAGTTTAGTTAATAAGGTTATTTTAAGCAGCGTAGGAATAAAGTTGGAAACTTCAGTTGCTGCACTTACAGATAATTCTCTCAATTTACTTTCTTGGCATTGTGTGTTACTGTATATGAAATACCAATGTCCTATTATGTAGATCATCTCATATCTATGTAAAGAACTGTTGGAGAACCACAACTTTCCACTTCTTCAGTGTAAAACAGTGGTATTCGTTACCTTTCCTTCAAATAAGGATCCCATGTTTTAAAATTTGGCAATGTAGCAAGAGTAAATTTTAACTGCTGTGAGCTAGAAATAAAACAAATTATACTTTGTACAGAAAAGATTTGTATTAATATGTACATAAATGTATGTACATATGTCCAGAGAGACCTAGAAAACAAAATGTAAAATGCTTAAATATCAAAATGCAAAGCTTAAAGTCTCAAGGTTTGCCCTGCTTAATGTTAGCCATGTACATACACGCATGCATGCACACACCTCAATAAGTATTTTTAGGGCAAGCCCAGTAATGTACTTTTATACTAATACCTTGAGTACCACTGCAAAAACATACATTTGAAACTTGACTTAAATTTAGATTTACGGAAAATATAATTATTGTACTAATTACTAAAATGCAAATGAGAAATTGCTTAAACCAGATTATGGTTTTGCATGCATGTTTTTAGTATTTCTTGTTTTCTTTTACTAATCTTATGGTCTTCTGTGCATTCTGCTGTTGCTGTTGTATGGCATTTTGCATGTGGATTGTACAGATGTTAAAAATCTGTCAAGGAAAAACACATTTTTTTTCTTAATTTTCTCCCACGTAAACTACAAGTAACACTGAAATAATTGATACACACCCTTAAGAAACTTTTTATATTACTTTCCCCATTGACAAAAGTTTGTTCATGTTGCCTGCTTCAAAGTGTACTGTTACCTCCAATTTGTCACTAAAGAGGAGGCAGGAAACTTAAGTTAATCACCACTGCTAAAAACTATAGTCCACTCAAATTTCAGTTCTTGCATGTAGGCTTTTAGTTTCAAGTGGGTTTTAAATTTATGTAAAATGGCATCTTAATTTTAGAAACTTTTGTCCTATTTCTCAAAATACTATTTTCCTTTTTAATTTAGATAGCAGTTGTTATTTTTTGAAATGGAAATAATTTGTCAAAGTCAGATTGTTACTTTTAAACTACCTATGTTGACGTGGAATATAAAAATTAGATTTGCACTCAGGTGTCCTTTTTTTCTCAAGTTTCCATACATAGGATTTGAAAAACAAAATGGAGTGCAGTGGAGACATTTTGATGTATTTCCATTGATTCTCAATTTTTAGTGACAGATGTATTTCTTAATGCAGATATGAATAGCAGTAGCTCCGTTTTGAATGCATTGACAAATGGACGTACCATCAGTGGACATTTGGACTTCACCGCCATAACACAGTTCAATGGAATGGATGACAGGCATGAAGAATGTTTAATACCTAATGGAATAACTCCTGGAGTAGCTTCTGCTAGTAGGCACAGAATTCACACCAGTAATGGCACTGAAGAACCAGAAAAAGCCATGAATACTTCTGATGATATGTGCGGTTCACTGCATCTGAACGGAAGCCCAAGTAGCTGTGTGTCTAACAGGCCCTCATGGGTTGAAGATTTTGGAGACACTTTGCACTATGGGCATTATCATGGTTTTGGGGATACTGCGGAAAGCATCCCTGAACTTAACAGTGTTGTTGAGCATTCCAATTCTGTTAAAGTTGAGCAGAAATATGATAATACTGTTTTAGGAACAATGTATCTTTATCATGGTTCCTAAATCAACATCTTGTTAAATTCCTATTGAAATTGCTACCAAATGTTTGGGAGGGACAAAGAATGCACACCTAGCATTAAATCTTGAAGAATGCAATTATTACTATTTTTTACACTTTGTTTATATAAACAAGTAAACCTTTCATTTGACAGTCTTATACTGTAGTTCTAATTTGTTGCATGTTTGGGGCTTATTTAGTGATGCAAGTAGATGCTGTTAATGAAATGTTTTACTATCAAATGCTGTGGTTTTGTACCTTTTTTATTTCCAAGCTAGTGAACACTATCCCCTTTTTAAAAAGTTTTCCCTCTTATTAATATGATCTAACTGTATTGAATTTTGTGCAGAAAACAAGTTGTGTTTTTGTGTATCACTCTTGAAGTGAAGTTTTTTGTGCTGAAGCTATGGTATCAGTATCAATGCCAGCTGTTGTCACTATGCAAGGTTTGAAGTGTTGTTCTTAAAGGTGCTTCTCTTACTTACAAATGTATACATTTGTTTAATAGAATTGGAAGTTCATCTTTATGTTCTGAGACAAGTGAAATATTAAAAATGAAAAGATAAAAGTTTGAAAAATGTTTCACTTCACTGTAGCACAGGAGTTATTTTCTTCATTGTTAGAGACCTTTGAATTATAGAAATGGAAAAGCAGATTACCCATGTTCAATTGCAAATGAAGGTGATTCTGTTGTTGCCTTTTTTTATTTTGCTTCTCTGCTTTAAATGTGTGCTTGATATTTTACCATAGCTCACAGCCTGGAGGCATGTTGGCATTGTTTTTGCTTTTTATGCAGTTTAAAATTACTGCTATTTGTGAAAGAAATTTGATTTTGATATACTGTACATCATTTTGTTTGCTTTGTGTGGGGGGGGGGAGGGTTTGTTTGTTTTTGGGGGTTTTTTTTAATACAATGGCTTTGAAATCTAATGCTGTGTATATCTAGCCAGTTAAGATACTTTTAGGGCTATGTTCATTGAAAATACATTGTATTTGAAGCTTATTACACAAGTAAAAATTCATACAAGTACTCTGTACAAGCATTAATAATATACTACTTTTATAATTTGGGAATATATTAAATGAGAGAAACCAGTAAGTACTTTGAACAGTAACAATGTTTTTGTTTAAAAGGAACTTTTACAAATTGGATTTTAAAAAAAATAACTTCATATTATATCAGGATTTATTTTGATTAAAATTATTAAACACTTGTTCAGATCAATTAATGTATCACTTGTAAAGTCAAATCTCATGTAAATATTTAATCCTTCTTAAACTCTGTGTGGAATCTTAGTTCATTCTCATTATGTGGAAATGTAAAAATGAAGATAAATAGGCTGGTACGTCATTGACTGAATTTCTTCGTTCTTTGAAAATTACTGGCACATGTTTTCTACCATTTGAGTAAAGACCATCAGTCTTGAGCTCCAAAGAAAGATCAGAACTGATAGCTCTGTGTTTAACACTGAAATTATATAGTACTCAGTATTCCCTTAAACAGTTTATTTGGAAAAATTCTGAAAACTCAATATTTTCTAATATAGCTTGCAAAATTATGTAGGTTGTTGCTGAGGAAGTATCAGGTATGGTCTCACCAGACTTAGGTTAGGGCTGGGGTAGGTAGTATACCCCAGCCCACAATGAAGTGTAGGGCAGATAGGCACCTCATCCTAAGGTTAGGTTTAGAAGTTGTTTCCCCTTCCCTCTCCTCCCCCCAGCCTGGTTTAGGGATAGGGCAGGTCAGATCTAGGGGATGGGGCAGGTATAGGATATGAGGTAGGAACAGAAAGCATCAGATGAAGATTAAAGCTAAAGTGAAGAGGTCTCCCAAGGCTAGGGTTAGGAATGGACGTTATGGACCCATG